TTGTTTTATTTTCTTTGAAAATTGTGGCTGTTATAGTTAGATTTATCTCTTAGCAGTAAGTGCCAGTCATTGCCATACTGGTATTTTGTTTGTTGTGGAAATTCAGGAGGTTGTTATAGTTATATTTGTCTCATTACGTGTTGGTGAAACTGTCTGTCTTGTTTGTAATAATTAACAGAAACTGTTTACACACTTGTTGTCGGTGTTTTGGTCAGTGAAAGGAATAATCTTCTTCGACTCAATATAATTTGTTGCATGTCAACTGGTTGTTCCTCACTCGATTGTCATCATCATTAATAGGTTGAAATCCAGAGCAAACTCCTGTCCTCTCCTTTGCCCAACCTTGAAAAATGTGCCTGGATTTAGGTTTGGATAGGCATTCCTTCCCTACCAACTACTGCCCTTTTCAGTTGAGTTCGTTAATTTACGGTATGTTCCTTTATAAATAAACCATTGGGTCTTAAAGTCAGACCATTGGGTTCATTTCTTGTTTGCATGTTATCTCTTCATTTTAGCTTGGTTTTTTGGTTCTGTTATGTCTTCCTTTGTTTCTACCAATAGATCTATGATTGTGCATGCATGTGTACTAATCATTAAATTAAGAAATATTAAAATAATAGTGATGTAACTACAGATTTATTTATGATGCAATATTGGTGTGTCTACTCCTTTTGGATTTCCTCTGCGCCTTCATAAAATAAAACCTCCACGATTAGTCACATTTTATTAAAGAGCTTTTCCCATTAAGGTATATTTAACATAGGTACAAATGCAAATTAAATTTGTTGAAGAATAGTTTGTCAGTGTAGTTTTGTCTGTTCCAATGTGTATGCAGGTATTTGAATTTACTGCATTGTTCTGGTTTGTCACAGTAAAGTTTTGAAGTGCGGTAAGAGCTGATGGTTCATAATTTGGGGAGATGAAAACTTCAGTTGTCTGTTTCTTTGTTTTGCATTGGAGTAAATATGTTCATATTTACATTTGAAAATACTGACGCTTCACACACAACATTAATTTTGTGTCACCATAATAAAAATGCACAACTTAATAAAAACAAGCATTTTAAAAGGTGTATATTAAATATTTTACTGCCAAGCTCACTACAGTGTGTGTTTTAGAAATATTTTTTTATTGATATGACAATTATGTGGATAAATGGATGTATTAGCTACAATTTGAAACCAGGACCTTTTGAATATGAATTTCTGAGTGCTAATTATTACACTGCCTAACTATGAAAATGTAAATCTGTAGTTTACTGAAATAGAGCTGCTGTGTTCCTGATGTCTGTTTTGTCTGTCAGTGATTGCAGTTGCTACTACTTCAACAAGAGTAAAACTGAGTGTACTAGAGTGGGAGAGCAGTTAAAGACATTATACTTCCAGCATCAACTTGTTAGGTTCTGGGTTCAAACCCTTCCTAGGGCATTGAGTTACCACCAGTCATAATGTCTGTTGTTATCTATTCTGCACTCAGGCTTTCTCTTGAACAGACTTACCCCATTAAATTATTCCCCATGGGGGGTCGGGGGGGGGACAATGTTGAGCATGTAATGATTAAAGTTCTGCTCTGTCTTAACTGATATTTAAAGTATTTTTGAAACCCCAGGAAAATTGTTAGTGATGACTGCATTCTTTCATTTTTTTCTGGATTAATCATCTTGTATTTCAAGAATACATTACTTATTCAGTTTCTTATATAAGAGTCGTGAAACATCCACATTTTCCATATTATGCAATTATTTTTTGTTTTGTTTTTTAAAGAAAACAGGAACATGTGGTATAATAGATCTGGACTCCTCCATCCGTAAGGATAATGACTTAAAGATAGTCTTCTGATTAATTTATGAATTGTTTGCATTATCCATAACTAAAGTAGCAAAATTATAGGGTTTTACAAAGAAAAAAAAAGAGACATGGTTGTAGAAGAGATAGTAAAGAATTTTTTTAAAGCTGTGTGCATTTTCCACATTTAATTTGGTCATGTGTAGTAGAAGCTTGGCAGTGTATTTGGTTTGTGTAAACTTCTGGTTTCATTTGACAACACCTGAAACATACTATAAAAGTGTGAGAAGAAAAGTAAATTAGAACCTAAGATTCTTTTTTTTTTTTTTTACACACAGAGGAAGCTGAAGCCTTACAAAATTATTACTTAGCACAACGTTAAATTAAGCTTTTGGCATTTCTTATGTTAAAATTGCTATTTCACAAAGTGATTATTACATCTGATGTGGCAACAGTTTTGCTCTCTTGTTTTGAAATTATAACGAAGATATATCATTGTAAGACCAGTCTAACATTTTAAAAATTGTATTTTGATGTACATTGACTATTTAAATTTAATGCATTATAACTTGAAATTAGACTGGCATTTTTTGTCTTTAAATAAAAAAGAAACCAAAATGCGTTGTCTCTTAAATTCATCTGAAATTCAGAATATCATGCTCCACTTCACTGTTAGAGTTGGTCAGTTTTAAATTCATTTTTGTAAATTTAAGTTAGTAGGGTGTGAGCTTTTCACTGGGATGGTATATAATGGTTTCATTGACCATTCATTGTAGGCAGCCATTAAAATGGTGTCCTACGTTGTAGATAGAGGAAATCTAAAACACATATACCTGATCTATACCGCAACATTATGTGATAAAACTTAGGTTTATCCTTGGAATGTAGGTTGGCACTGAAAGATTAAAAATGAAATTGTTTTAAGAATTGTTCAGAAGAGCAGAGTTATTTTGGTGTTTGCTTCTGCAGTGTACAGTATCGACTGCTGAAGTTCTGCAGGTAATATACCATTATTGCATCTGAGTAAACTGAGGCATCTGTAGGTACAACATTATAATTCAATGGTTTGGTGCAAAAAAACATTTGATAATAATTTTCTGCTATCATTTAATTTAGCAAACCATGCTATATTATTAAAATAATCATGAGAATCCACTACTTATATTATGTGTTAATTTCTGTGAATGTGGTTCATAATGCATAAATTATTCAGTTTTTAGTCGTTTCTCACAAGTAGAATTCCATGCCTATGCACCAAACCATTAATGGTTAATTTGTGTTATTATGTTTTCAGTGTTTACAGCAAAATCTCTTGTACTTAGAAACATAACATTTATAAAGGCATTCTTTAAACCATGTCATTTTGTAGGAGTAGCCAAGTAGGTGCCATGCTGACAGCTGTATTATCATACTTGCATTACAGTTATAGTCAAACTTTGATAGTGTACGTGCTCTGGATATTTTGAGTCTTTGATTTGTAAAATACTAAACAGCATTTATCAGTACTGTAATTCAAATATAAATTCCTTAGAAAACGATGTTTCTAAGATTACTTGCAGCTGTAATGTAAGATAATATTTCCCAGACTATTTTGCCCATGAAACTGTTGTTGATAGAATCTCAAGAAAACTTTAATTAAGAAGATCAGATATGAAATGGCAATGGAACAGTTGGTTTTACATTTTGTCAGGGTAGATTTTAAACTAATGAGATTTCAGACTTGAAATGTTGAGTGGCTGTGACCGTATTAACACTTGGAATGATCCAATTTTGAGGCACATTGTATGTCAAATTACATTATTATTACCAGTTTAAATAATTTTCCTCACTGTAAGATTTGTTTTAAGTATCTCTTAGTTCTGTATAGCCCATTTCAAATTGCACTCTGGATGTTGTAAAACAGCCCGCGAAGACTATTAATCTCATGTTGAAATTTTCTGTCCTGTCCTATGTATTTCTGCTCATGTAGTGGATCTGCTATTCCACCAGATGGTTTTCATTTCAGATTTTTGCTGTTCTTAGCTTCCTTTTAAAAACTATTCAAGAGATTTTGCTGTGCATTTGTGTATTTTGTCTCTTTACTATAGGAAATGTTCAAATGAAAGTAACTGGAAATTTTTGACAAGAAGTTCTGTGTATTTAAATTGCCATACAGCTTATCAAATCTAAACCTTCTTGACGATGGTGAAGAGTCAATTGAATAAAAATTTTCTTGGATATTATCCATCGTCTAGTAAATATAAAACGTAAAACGACGTTTCGGAGATGGGACTCTATCTCCGTCTTCAGGTTCCTACACAGTTGGGCCCACTAGATAGAGCTAATCCCTATCTCCGGACGTTTTATATTTACTAGACGATGGATAATATCCAAGAAAATTTTTATTCACCCATCTCCGAAACGTCGTTTTACGTTTTATATACAGCTGTTACACTTTAATCTCTGAATTGACCACATCTTCCAATCCATGTGTATATGCAGCAGGTGTGATAACATGCTGCTATGACTAGAATAAATCCATAGCTGAAACAGACATTTCTGTGGCTGTAAAATTTAGTTGAGTTTGTTTGGTTCTGTAAATTGCCATATTATATTGATTATTTCCAGTAGTAAGAGACAAAATTAAACTAGTTTTAAGACTGTTTCTTTCAAAATTTGTTGTTAAAGTCATAGCATAATTTCACTGTTAAAAAGTAAACATTCAGAATCTGACTGATGAATTTCTAGTACAGTGATTCTCTAGGATGAAATTTACAAAAATGTCAGAAATATTCTAGTTTTAGGTTATCTTTTCTGCTGTATACCTTAAACAAAATCAGAACTTTTTAAAATTCTCATCATAATATTGTTCTGACGTAAGTGTTTCTTTGTGATTTCAGCCAGAACAATTTTCTGTTCATAAATATGGCTGTGAATTGTCTTTGTCTATGAATGAGGTCATTGCAAATTTTATATTCAATATTGTAATTGCAGAAAAAGCATGTTTGAAGTATTTCATGAATTTGACCGTGACAAATTTTTGCTTGAGAACCCCTGTACTATTACAGTAAATACCATTAAAATTGGTTTCAGTACAATAATTACATCTGATTTATTTTAAAGAATTATTTCAATTACATTAAATATTTGAGAACTAATTAGCTGAAGTAGGAGTGTTAGTCAGATAATGCGTGTGTTATAATTGTGTGACTGACCAAAGCTGTGCTCTGCCTGTAGTGCCACCAAGATGGATTCTGGAACCAACTGACAAAGCATTTGCTCAAGGCAGTGATGCAAAAGTTGAGTGCAAAGCTGATGGGTTCCCCAGGCCCCAGGTCACTTGGAAGAGGGCTGCTGGTAAGGCTAATACATGCAGTACGATTAGTGGACATTGAATTTTGTGTCATATTAACACATTCATGGGAATGCAGAGATAACGGAGAAGGCTGTGTTGTAAGATGATAAACACTAATCAGAACATCAGTGTATAATTATTAACATATTCACTGCCAGTGACTGCTGAAATATTTCTCCTTTTCCCCATCAGATGTCATTGAAATGTCATAAGACCTTCACATCTTTGAGGAATTGAAATGAGCGCACTAGTATATTCCAGTCTATTATAAAAATTTGTGATTTCGTCGTCGTCAATAAATTATGTCATCAACAATGTCAACTATAAACAAACTCGGCATTGTTGTGTTCCACAACAATGCCGAGTTTAGTGTCTTACTCAAGATTTTAAAACGCAACCAACCCCCCCGAATGAGGGGTTGGTCAAGTGTTTTAACCCTCCATTCGGGGGGTTGAAAAAGCTGCCCTTGATTCGTGGATAACAACTGTTTTCCTACAAATTCAATATAAATTTATGTTTGTGTGTATTCTTGCATGTGGTGAGGTGTATGAATGCAGTTATTTGCTCTTGCAAAATTATTGAGTCGTGTGAGCAGGGGAAAACACTGCATAATCCATGCTGTAGTGTTAGTTTGTTTATATTACTGGGAAATGTAATTATTGCAGGTGAAACCCCTGGTGATTACAAGGATCTGAAACCAAACAACCCCAACATTAAGGTGGAAGATGGAACTCTGACTATTAACAATATTCAGAAGACAAATGAAGGTTATTATTTATGTGAGGCTGTCAATGGTATTGGTTCTGGACTGTCAGCTGTTATTCTCATCAGTGTACAAGGTATGTCACACGTAATCATATTCTGATGTTTTGAAACTGAGGCTAGTGAGACTGCTCTGGTCCTAGAAAATGTCATTTCTCATACCTGATGACTTGATGAGAAATTCCTCAGTTGAAGAGACTGTATGGAAGGCTTGATATAAAAGGGCATTTCTAGTTCAGTTGAGAGTCGCTGTCAACTGTTCAAGGCATATACCCTGACCGTGGAGTTAGTTATTTGCTATATGTTCAGTTATTCAGCTAAATTAATCTTAAATTGTGTATTATATGCATTTTGTAATTATTACATAAATAAAACAAAACTGACCGTCCGTATCAGCCAATTTCCCATAGGCATGATGTGTATTTCTTACTACTGCAGAAGATTCTGTACAAATTTGGAAATAATCAATGCAGATGATGAATTAGATGATTTGTTGTGGCCTGAATTGAATTATGTTTATTGCAGTCATAATTTTTTTTTACAAATGGCACTCCCAGCAGCTTGGAAAATGTCAGGAAACATAACAAATAAAAGTGTTAATAATTGTCTTGCAATGAAAACATATCCTGTAATTATAATTGAAAATTTGGCCAAAGTTTAATTTTTATATCTGCCTTATTGTAGCACCACCACACTTCGAAATCAAACTTAGGAACCAGACATCACGACGCGGTGAGCCAACAGTATTGCAATGTGAGGCCCGTGGTGAAAAACCAATTGGAATTAGGTGGAATATGAACAACAAACGACTTGATCCCAAGACTGACACCCGGCAAGTACTACCAACATGACCCGAGTCTTCGTTGTCAATCACGACTCTTGAAACTGCTTTATTTTGGTGTATGTTCAGTGTTAAACACTAGCACCATACAACGTACTGGCTCTCAACAATCAGCACATACTGTGTAGTGATGAACTGTACGACATTTAACAGTTATGGCATATCTCAATGTATATACATCCAATGAGTTTTGACATGAGAAACATTTCCAGAGCCAGCATTAGAGTGCATGCATAATTCTCTTCAGTTTAGTGGAAGCAGAAACACTGGAAATATGAAGTCATGTGAAATGGATGGTGCAGTATTACAAGATGTACCTCAAAAGCAGAACCACTAACTGCAGTCATATGGTTCCAGAGAATATTAAAACAAATTGCGTGTCATTATGGCAGACACAGAAAAAATTAATGATATTGATTTTGAAATATTTATTGATAATGTATGGAAATGCAAGTTCTGAGGTATGTCACAGTTGCCAGATGTATATTTTCTCAGAAATTATTAAATAAGATTTATTTCTAATGCTCTTCTATGTTGAATATAAGGCATACCCCATTTCCAATTTATAAATGAAAATACAAGTTAAAGAATTTTGTAATTGAAGATATCCATCTTCTGGGTTGTTGCGCTGTGTAGTCTGGTCGATGTTAACCAACGTTTCAGAGGTCATACTGCCTCCGTCATGAGGGCGATGAGTATGAAGAGTTCTGTCTTCTCTCGCCCACGTGCTACCATTAGTCCACTCCCATGCCTGCTCCCATTGGCTCGGGAGCCTATAAATCCAGCTCCTCACACCCTATTGGCATATTCATCGCCCTGATGACGCAATAACCCAGAAGACAGATATCTTCATACTCACCGCTGTGAGAACCTCAAGTCTTACAATTTTGTAATTGGTAAAGCAAATAGAGTATACTACTACTGAAGGAAAGTGTTGCTTTTTTTTTTATTCTTTGTGGTATTTTTAGGTACACAATGCGAGAAGAAATACTTCCAAATGGTGTTCTCTCTGACCTTAGCATCAAACAGACAGAACGTACTGACTCAGCGCTGTTTACCTGCGAGGCAACAAATGCATTTGGAATCGATGACACCAGCATCAACTTGATCATTCAAGGTTTGTTAACAAGTGCAAACTGACATGACCTTATATAGATTTACAGTGTCAGATAAATTTAGGGATTATTATTGAGATTAACTTGGATTTGAGGAAATTTATTTAAATTGACTGCAGTGAGAATTTTGAAATATATACGATAAACATTATTTTTTTAAATTATAATTGGTTTTGGAGTCTCACACTTAAACTGCATATGTGTTATAGAAATCACAGCTATGTTCCTATGTTTGTCTCTTTATGGTCAACATGCAACACTGAATTGGCTTGTGCGGAGAACTAAGGATCTTGATATCTTCCAGCTTTGCTGCTTTAGTCCTGACAGTAGAAATAATTTTTATTTTCCAGAGGTGCCTGAAGTACCTTATGGCTTGAGGGTGTTGGACAAATCTGGACGTTCTGTTCAGCTGTCATGGGCTGCCCCTTACGACGGCAATTCTCCAATCAAGCGGTACCTCATCGAGTACAAGATCTCTAGAGGTGAGACTTTATGTTCCACCTGATACTAATAATGTTTGAAGGTAATCCCAGCTGGTGATTTACAGCCTGCTTTTGGTCCATGTCCTAATTCATACCAGTTCACAAATTCTATCTGCCATTGCATTTCATTTGGCTGTAACGAGGGTGGGGGGGCTTGTTATTTTTTTTGTTCTCAATTTTTATTTAATGTCTAACAATTTTGTGTGTGACTGGCTTTCAGGGTTTAGCCTCGTGGAATAATGATAATTTTGTGTAACAATGCATCATGGGACAGTGAACAGGTTGACATTTGGATGTGATTTTGCCCCTGTGATGTAATTTGTTACAAACAACTCAATATAATCTTGGAATGAAATGTTTACCAGTTCTGTCTTGCCTGCTTTTTGAGCAGTAACTTATGTTCTGTGTTCCTTTCTGTTTTTATGTTCAGTAAAACTGTGGAATTTAACATGTAAACCACAAGATACATTTGGATTGTAACATAATTTGTCTCTTTAGGCACGTGGGAAGCAGATATTGACCGGGTTTTGGTACCTGGGCAGCAGACAGTGGCTGGTGTGTTCAATCTTAGGCCTGCAACCACGTATCACTTGCGCATCGTTGCTGAGAATGAAATTGGAACTTCAGAACCTTCTGACACTGTTCCCATCATCACTGCAGAAGAGGGTAAGCCCACTGATCATATATAGGTGCTCTGTATTTTATAGATGTCATGGCTAAACCTATATATAACAACATTCAGGGAACAAAAATGTTCAGACTTAGTTGTTGTTAAGATAATTTTCTAGCAAAATGTTCTTTAATGAATTTTTTTTAAAAAAAACTTTATATAAATTTGTGAAATTCATAAGTCAAATGTAGTGCGGAGCAGAAGCATATTTTAAGGTACTGCTAACATTTGTGTGAAAATACTAAGGTTAACCACGAAGAACTTGTCATATATCCAACTCCGGACTGAACATAGGCTTCTGTGTTTTTATATACATAATTTATGGGGTTGAGGTGCATATTTTTGAGCTGTTTTCTCAACATTTTAAATGTACCGAAGAATGAGTTTGAAAGTATAGAAAGCTTTTTCATGATAATTGTTAGCTGAAAGTATTTTTATTTTGCATTTCTTTCGTGAAAGGTATCATTTTTGTTTTACAAGATACTTACAGTACATAACTAAAACAAGCAACAAAAATTTGAGAAACAAATCCATGAAATTCACATTGAATGACTTACAACAATAACACTGCACCCTTTCCACAATGTTTAAGCTTTCAAATCTGAATAGTAAGTATGCGTACCAGGTGATTTAACAGTCAGTAACTCTTAAATATGTATTTATGGGTTTTGTATAATTATCACTGTAAACACAGATTATTTCCTATAACAGGATTAACAAACTGATGTTTTTAATGGTGAAGTGTTGTGTTTTCTCTGGGATATGGACTGAGTTCTTAAATATTATTTAGATGAGCTTCAAGTTTAAAGGGTTGATGTCTGTTCTTTGTATAACCATAAGAATGTGATATTAGTAACCGAAGATTATTTGATGATATGAAGAGGTTGGCATGTTTGAGTGCTATTTTTTGTATTGTAGTGTGTACATCTATATTTTAGCTCCTGGTGGCCCAGCCACAGCTGTGAAGGTAGAAGCTGAAGACCAGCATACACTCAAGATCTCATGGAAGCCTCCAGAGAGAGATCAGTGGAATGGCGAGATTCTTGGCTACTATGTGGGCTATAAGCTTGCTTCATCTGACAAACCATACCTATTTGAGACAGTTGAGTTCAGCAAAGAGGAAGGGAAAGAACATCACCTGCAGATCAGTAATTTGAAGTAAGACCCATTCTTTAGGCATTATGACATTGTACGACTTCAGTGAGTATGATGGCCATCTTCTGGGTTGTAGTGCCATGTAGTCTGGTAGAAGTTTACCACTATTTTAGAGGTTCTTGCTGCCTCCTACATCAAGGTGATGACTCATCGCTAGACTTTCACGGTGCTACAACCCACAGGACAGTTTTTAAGGTTTGTGGCTTTGCTCCTGTAATCTCCTCATTAAAACAAACCACTTCTGTCTTTGCTTCCTTCTTGTATGTTGCTTAGTTTCCAAGCTACAAAAACCACACTCACCAGTACTCAAGCCCAGGACACTATTTGATAGCTCCGACCTTTCTGAAATCTCCTGGTTTCAAGGCATAAGCATGCAAATTGAGGCAAATTGGCATATCTCTTCTTGAGCTAACACATATATACATGAAGATTTCGCCCTGATGACGGAGGCAGTATGACCTCTGAAACGTTGGTTAACATCGACCAGACTACACAGCGCAACAACCCAGAAGACAGAAATCTTCATACTCATCGCCCTGATGACGGAGGCAGTATGACCTCTGAAACGTTGGTTAACATCGACCAGACTACACAGCGCAACAACCCAGAAGACAGAAATCTTCATACTCACCGCTGTGAGAACCTCAAGTCTTACATATATACATACCTGTAACTTCAGTTTTTGTATGTAAGATAAAATGAGCAAATGTCATGGTTCATTGTTATTAACAATAATTTGTTTTTGTTTTATGGACTTCTTCATCCAGTGATATCATCTGTCCAAAATAAAAATTTTCATTTGTTTTCTCACACTTGCCTGCAAAAGCAAAAATCCCAAGAAAATATGTTTTGAATTGTGATTAAAACTGCTGATGAAATCTTGTGTTTTAAGAAAGGGATGAAGTTTTGTAATAAATTGTACAGGTTATTTTGTGAATTTGCATTTCTTCACATAAGAGCAGATTTACCACCTCATGTTGACAGTAGAATCTGAGAGGCCTGCTTCAAAATGTTGTAGCTGTTCACTTGATTTGTGGCCTGTTTATTACCTGCCTGCATTATTGTTCTATACATTATATTGCTATTGCCAGAATAGCATTTGTATATTCTTAACACTGAACAGGCCATGTTAATACTGAAAAGTAATAGGTCTAATTGTTCAGAATCATAAAATTTATTACAGTAATAGCATGTGGTTTAATGATTGTTTTACAACACAGGACATATACCCAGTACTCAGTAGTGGTTCAGGCTTTCAATAAGGTTGGTCCAGGACCTATGTCAGAGGAGACACGTCAATATACAGCTGAAGGAATTCCTGAGCAGCCCCCTCAGGATACTACATGCACAACGCTCACCTCCCAAACCATCCGAGTGTCATGGGTCTCTCCCCCTCTCACTGCTGCAAATGGCATAATCAAAGGCTACAAGGTTATATATGGTCCAAGTGACACATGGTATGGTGAGTTGCATTTTTGACAAATCGGGACTTTTGTTAGGTGATCTGTCTTTATAATTAAATTTATTATAATTAATTCAGTTTGTCTGCCTAGACTTCTTTGTTTCCAACTTTATTAATTTGCATTAAGAGACCATTGCTACAAAATAAGAAAAGGCTACTTTGATAGTTATATAAACAATGCTTAATGTTTAGATATGTGCTTATGACATGGCCATTTTCACATACAATTATTAAAGGCATAAATTCTTATCCTTAGATGGTTGGAAAGTTATGTTGGTTCATTTAGTTGAACTGTCCCATCCATAACAGCAAAAGTGTTTTGTACCACGCTATAGCCAGTATGTTGTACATTTCAGTTAAAATCTGAAAAGGTAATGTAATGAAGAACCATCTTGGGAGATGTCCTGTTGAAAGTAAGGTGGATCCAACCAAGGGGATTTTGAAAATAGGAGGTCGATGGAACTTGCTCAGAATTGTGTTCAGTTGTAGGCTTTGGTATTGTCAGCATTGAACTTTTGGAGTGTGCTACCATTATGTTGCATAGTTTTAATAGGGTGATATGCCGGTATAGTAAAATAGAATTATTCAGTTTCACTAAATTTAATTTATACCCGACATCTTCATTTGCAGATCGGATTATGGAGAAGTTGTGAAGTCATTGTTTATATTCAGTACAATTCCAAAGTAAAGTTACCAGGAAAACAGGTGTAAGTTTCTTGTTATTACTTCCATTAAAGTTGTAAATCAAATTCAGAATCTTGTCTATTGTAGATGAGAACAGCAAAGATACAAAGATAACGTCATCAAGTGAAACTATCCTCCATGGTTTGAAGAAGTACACCAATTACAGCATGCAAGTTCTGGCCTTCACGTCAGGTGGAGATGGTGTTCGTAGTGCTCCAATCCATTGCCAGACGGAGCAAGATGGTACGTCTATTATAAATTTTCATTTGTAATAAAATTTGTTTAAAATTTAAATAAAGATTTTTTCCTAATTTTATGTGTTAGTGTGTTCACCTCTTATCATTGGATTAGCATTTCTTTATATTTTAACAATTTTATTGTATAGCTGTAAGTATTTTATATGGACTATTGCATCATAAAAATAATTATTATTACCAGACTGAATGACTGTGACTTAAATTTGTTTGACTGATAAAATGTCATCTTAAGACTACGTTTCTACCATAATTTACAAAACCCAAAGCATCAGTGTTTGAACTCTCTTCTCCATTGCTTACACAACATATTGTTTAATTGCTCACAGTTTAAATTTTGTCTTTCTTTAAAATGGGGCAGTGGAGAGTAATAAGATTTATTTCACAGAAATGTACATGACTGGGATATTCCTTAAGGTGGCGACTGACTTGTAACATTTGCCTGTAATGTAACGTGTTACAAATCGAGCATTACACAAGTGAAGACAGCGAACGGAGCCGCTCGATGCGAGCCGCTCACGCTCGCGGGCGCTCCGTCGTGTTGTCGGTTTTTTCGCGAATCCCTTTGAGTGTCACATTACAAGTCAGTCGAGCGGTGTCGTAATGAGCATTCATGAGTTCTTTAGATAAGAGTAGCGTATTAAATGAAACAAAGATAACACAACCTCCACGTCCGACATATTGAATGAAATGAATGGAGCACAGTCGAGCCGAGCGTTCAAAACGAGCATTCGATGCGCCTCACCAGTTGTGGTGTAATGTAACATGCTCGCCGCGAATGTTACATTACGAGTAAATGTTACAAGTCAGTCGCCACCTTTAGGCATTTGTAATGTGCAGAAATCTCAACTTTGTGAAAGGCTTTGATTGCATTTTGCATTTGAGTATTATAACATGAGTTGTGCATTGCAGTTCCTGAAGCTCCTAGTGCAGTGAAAGCACTTGTTATGTCAGGAGATTCCATTTTGGTGAGCTGGAAGCCACCAGAGCAACCAAATGGCATTGTGTCACAGTATACCGTGTATGTGCGTGAGGACAGCGAAGAGGCTAAAGATGTAAGTGTCATGGCTCACTTGTTTTATATCTGTCATGTCCTTTGATTGCAGTAATGTGAACAGCTGATACAAAATGTAGACCAAACATTGAGTGGTTAGCACTCCTGCTCTGTATTCATGAGTTCTGGGTTCTGATACTCACCTGAAGACTGGCTGTCCTGAATGAGAAGACATCCATCTTTCTGTAACATTTCTATGTCATATTTTAATGTAAATGTGTTGAAAAATATGTATTATGCATGTGATGTTTTGATCTGTAATAAATTTTAGAAGTCGATTGTTTCCTTTCCACGTGGTTACCAGGAGCAGAATTTTCGGAGTACGCAGCAACAGGATTGTACATTCAAATGTGATCTTTAATACCATGTTTCTGTGTAGGAAGAACCAAAAGGCACAAAGGTTCCACCCTTCCAAATGAGTTTTGAAGCATCAGATTTGAAGAAAAAGGAGCGCTATGAATTCTGGGTAACTGCATCCACTATAATTGGTGAAGGCCAGCCATCAAAACCTGTTTCTTTGTCTCCAAGCAACAGAGGTTGGTTCGATGAATTTCTGTAGTCTTATATAATCCATAGCATCCCTGTTTATTGATATAAATTTATGTATTCTAGATTACAGTGAAACCTCTATCCATCGTTCCCGGAACTATCGTTTTCCCGGATGCATCGTCCGTTTTGTTCGGTCCCGAATACATCCCATATTAAATAATGTTACATTTTCCCGCTTCTATCGTTCCTCGAACTATCGTTTTATCGCATCGACCGTTCAAAAATCTCAGTCCCGGCCAACAATTTTCCCGCAATGATCGTTTCTGAGAAATTAAAATGCTGGGTTTTGAGATAAATTAATACCGAAAGACGCACAATGTTTTTGGAATAC